CATTTGACTTTTTCGTAAATGCTCATTTGTTTCTTGCTCAAAGTATCATGTGACAGTCTTTTGTTTATGGTTGTTAGAGTTGGTGGTTGTATCATCAGGAGGTAAACAATCGTACTCAAGGGGTTAAGCCATCGTACTCGAGGGTTAAATGATGACACTGACGGGGCTAAAACATCGCACTCAAGGGGTTAAACCGGGTTAACTATCGGGCTCAATGGGTTAAACACTCGTACTCAAGGGGTTAAACACTCTTACTCAAGGGGTTAAACACTCGTACTCAAGGGTTAAATCATGACACTTGAAGGGGTAAAAGAGAGAGTGGGGTCGCCTCGCTTTAACCAGCTGTGATAACTGGGTAATTAAAACCATGTAGAAGTTGGGTGCAGAAGTGCAGTGTTGGAGTGGTGTTGGTGTGGTGTTGGAGTGGTGTTGGGGTAGTGTTGGAGTGGTGTTGGTGTAGTGTTGGAGTGGTGTTGGTGTAGTGTTGGAGTGGTGTTGGGGGTAGTGTTTGGTATGTGTGGAAGCCGTGTCAGTCTGTGTAAAATGGACTGTCCTAAATTCACAAACACTTAAGTTAATAGTTACACTCGAAGTTGCTAAGTCTTAAGTGTGTCTCAACCTCCATAAGTGTGTAATATCATTGTTACACTCGAAGTTGCTAAGTGTAAGTGTGTCTCAACCCCCATAAGTGTGTCATGACTCGGGTTAACCTTGTGAGACACTGTTGCAATGCTTCTCCTGTAGGGGTTATGTCATGTTGACTTGGTAATATATACAATGATCCCGTCGACTGTCTCACTAAGGCTGAAAGCTGCCACAGGGAGTCACTCTCAGGACATTGCTACAGGGAGTCACTGTTACTTGCCACAGGGAGAGTCACTGTTACTTGCCACAGGGAGAGTCACTATCAGGAACTTGCCACAGATAGAGTCACCGTCAGGAACTTGCTGCAGGGAGTCACTGTTACTTGGCACAGGAGAGTCACTGCTGGCACAGGGAGAGTCACTGTTACTTGCCACAGGGAGAGTCACTATCAGGAACTTGCCACAGATAGAGTCACCGTCAGGAACTTGCTGCAGGGAGTCACTGTTACTTGCTACAGGGAGTCACTGTTACTTGCCACAGGGAGAGTCACTGTTACTTGCCACAGGGAGAGTCACTGTTACTTGCCACAGATAGAGTCACCGTCAGGAACTTGCTGCAGGGAGTCACTGTTAATTGGCACAGGAAGAGTCACTGTCACTTACTTTCGATTGACTTTAACTCCTCTTGGACGTAAGTCACTTAAATAAACTCCACTCATTACTTATAATTATTGCACTTGACACTTATATATAATGGATACACTTACGACGATGACACTTAACACATTACTTATACACTTATATCATTCCAGTACAATTTACCAAATTCCAATAGACTTAACACATTCCAGTACATATAAAAATGCCGTTTACACATACCCGTGAGATTTATAGTGAAGATATTGATCCCGTCCCGTACAGTATATCCAGTTATCGAAACACGTGTACTAGGGAGCAGTATATCGTGACAACCTTCCTCTCCTCACTCTACACACATACTGACGACTGACCAAAGTAACTCGGGTCGGGTCTCAGACGGCGGAGGAACACAAAGGCTGAGCAAGGCGGCAAGCAATATGGAATGTAAATAAATGCTTTGGCTACACCAGATGGACGGACTCTCTCTCTCTCTCTCTCTCTCTCTCTCTCTCTCTCATTGTTTCCCCATACTCAAGGGGTTAAATCATCATACTCTAGGGGTTAAATCATCATACTCTAGGGGTTAAATCACCATACTCAAGGGGTTAAATCATCATATTCAAGGGGTTAAATCACCATAATCAAGGGGTTAAATCATCATACTCAAGGGGTTAAATCATCATACTCAAGGGGTTAAATCATCATACTCAAGGGGTTAATTCATCATATTCAAGGGGTTAAATCATCATACTCAAGGGGTTAAATCATCATACTCAAGGGGTTAAATCATCATACTCAAGGGGTCTAGCAAGAGATTCTTAAATAAAACGGATTATAAAACACATGGTAAACTGTCGTAAATTTATTGACGTAATTCAGAAACAGTAATTAGTGATATTGACAAAAGTTTTTATAATATAATTGGATCACCTGAGGATACCCCCATGGTCCTCCCTTCATATTATAACCTGATAATTATCGACAGGTAAGGGTTAAGTTAGGTTAGATTAGGTTTGGTTAGATTAGGTTTGGTTGGGTTACGTTAGGTTGAGTTAACTTAGATTTGGTTAGATTAGGTTGTGTTGGGTAAGATTATGGTAGGGTAGGTTAGGTTAGGCTGATAAAATTATGTTAGATCCGGGCCTGTCAGGTTAGGTTACAGTTAGGTCAGGTCAGGTGAAGTTAAAGATAGATTAGTTCAGGTTAAAGTTTGTTTAGTTTAGTCCAGGTTAAGTTAGATAAGGGTAGGCTTAGTTATAAGGTGGATACTATTCAGGTTAACTATGGTAGGTGGCGAATCTTCAGGTGATCCAAAAATTTAATCACAGTTAATATAATTTAACATAGATATTAATGAAGGACTTAATAACTACAGAATAATATTTAATGGTTTAGTGAGTTAATTATATTATAAGATATTATTTAGTGAATTATATACGTATATGAAGGAAATACAGGGTGGTGTATAAATTATTTTACTGAGTTTTGGTTAACAGATGCGTTGTTCGCAGTAAAACTTATGCACCACCCTGTACACTATGTTGATATTTGTGTTTGTATCTTGATTTGTAAACAGTCCAAAAAAGTATCTTTACGGAGAGGTGATCAATGAACCCCATAATGAACACTGTGACTCCTGTTGTCTCGGTAGGGTTGTCAAAAACCTTCATCCGTTGCATCATATTATATCACCCAAAATGGTCTAGATACTTTTTTTGACTGCTTATATACCCAGTTTATATTGTGATAAATTAAACAAAAGAACATTACAAGTCGTATATATTAATTTTTTTAACTTGTATTATATAAATACAACAAAATACAACTATACAATGCAAATATAGATATATACAACTTAATACACAAGAATGCCAGTATTTTATAAGTATGGTTAGAGTTTTAGTATTATTGATAAAGTATAAGTAATAGAAGTATGTATAAGTGAGGATAGGTGCTGATGTTACTTATAGGCCAAGTAGAAGTAATATTAGTAGTATTTATAAGTGGTAGGAGGAAATAGTATTAATATATAGTTTAAAGAAATATAGCAGTTATTAATGATATATCTTTTATGTGGTACTTCATATATGCAGTGCCCTATATGTGGTGCCTTCTATATATGGCACCCTATATGTGGTACCCTATATATGGCACCTTATATGTGGTACCCTATATATGGCACCCTATATGTGGTACCTTATATGTGGTACCCTATATGTGGTACCCTATATGTGGTACCTTCTACATGGTACCTTATATACAGTACCCTTTATATATCAATGTCTTCTAGCCTTTAGTCCGTATATATATAACAATTACTAATGATTTAAAACATTTATATACATATATTTCAGTAGATATACCATATATCAGGACATATAACAAGTACGGCGTGTTTATACTTACAAATGACGGTAGTTAGGGATTGAGGCCACTTATTGGTCGGCTTAGTGAGTGACGTCATTCGAGGTCGTTAGGAGAGGTTGTTATCATCCCGTTCGGTACATGGAATAGAGAGAGAGAGAGAGAATGTGTATGAAGTACGAAGGTCTAGTGAAGAGAGAGAGAGAGAGAGAGAGAGAGAGAGAGAGAGAGAGAGAGAGAGATGATGATGATGATAATAACAGCAATAATAATAATAATAATGACAATAATGATAATAATGATGGTAATAATAATAATAATGATGATGACAATAATAATAATAATAATAATGGCCAGAGGAATATAATATAGATATTGAAAGGTACAATATATAATAACTTGCAATTAAATTACTCTTAATATAACTAAACAGAAACTCAATATATACAGTATAGAGTAACCTAACCTAACCCAAAAGGTCTCTAATATAGCCCAGAACGCCCTTAGCAAAATATATTCGCCCTTAGTATAGCTCTATGTACCCTTAACTTGTCCCTTAGTATAGCTCAATGTCCCCTTAACTTGTCCCTTAGTATAGCTCTATGTACCATTAACTTGTCCCTTAGTATAGCTCTATGTACCCTTAACTTGTCCCTTAGTATAGCTCAATGTGCCCTTAACTTGTCCCTTAGTATAGCTCAATGTACCCTTAACTTGTCCCTTAGTATAGCTCAATGTACCCTTAACTTGTCCCTTAGTATAGCTCTATGTACCCTTAACTTGTCCCTTAGTATAGCTGTATACCCCTTAACTTGTCCCTTAGTATAGCTCAATGTACTCCTTAACTTGGCCCTTAGTATAGCCTGCTAAAAGTTCTTAACTTGTCCCTTAGTATAGCCTCTATGTACCCTTAACTTGTCCCTTAGTATAGCTCTATGTACCCTTAACTTGTCCCTTAGTATAGCTCAATGTACCCTTAACTTGTCCCTTAGTATAGCTCTATGTACCCTTAACTTGTCCCTTAGTATAGCTCAATGTACCCTTAACTTGGCCCTTAGTATAGCTCTATGTACCCTTAACTTGTCCCTTAGTATAGTTCTATGTACCCTTAACTTGTCCCTTAGTATAGCTCTATGTACCCTTAACTTGTCCCTTAGTATAGCTCTATGTACCCTTAACTTGTCCCTTAGTATAGCTCTATGTACCCTTAACTTGTCCCTTAGTATAGCTCTATGTACCCTTAACTTGTCCCTTAGTATAGCTGTATGTACCCTTAACTTGTCCCTTAGTATAGCTGTATGTACCCTTAACTTGTCCCTTAGTATAGCTTAACTTGTCCCTTTAGTATAGCTCTCTCTATGTACCCTTAACTTGTCCCTAGTATAGCTCCAATGTGGCCCCAACTGGCCCTTAGTATAGCTCTATGTACCCTTAACTTGTCCCCTAGTATAGCTGTATGTACCCTTAACTTGTCCCTTAGTATAGCTCAATATACCCTTAACTTGTCCCTTAGTATAGCTCAATGTACCCTTAACTTGTCCCTTAGTATAGCTCAATGTACCCTTAACTTGTCCCTTAGTATAGCTCAATGTACCCTTAACGTGTCCCTTAGTATAGCTCAATGTGCCCTTAACAAAATATAGTGGCCCTTATCTATAACCCTTCTGTACACACGGCAGATGAAGTCAGGATCCACGGGTGACCAGTCGGTGCCGTTGTAGGTGATGTAGACAACTTGTAGGTCACCGACGGGTTCCATCCCCTCAGCACAGCCCACGGTGAGGTTCTGGCCCACGTAGAAGGTGGCTGGAGGCATGGCGAAACTCACCCCAGGAGGTAGGGTCGGATTTTCTGCGACTGGGGGATGTGGTGGTGTTGTTAGTTTTAAGTGGTTTTGAATGCTGTTTTAGGGAGGATATTTACAGTTATTGTGAATGCTGTTTAAGTGTTTATTTTCATTAGAATGCTGTTTTGGGGTGTCTATTGACGTCTAATTTGAATGCTGTTTTAGAGGAATATTTACAGTTATTTTGAATGCTGTTTGGGGCTGTTTTTTTTAATCTAATGTGAATTCTGTTTTGAGGCTTATTTGAATATTGTTTTGGACACACACACACACACACACACACACACACACACACACACACACACACACACACACACACACACACACACACACACAAACCTTCCTTCCCTTCTTACCATCAAAACACTCAAACTCAGGATCAATTGGGCTCCAGGCAGTGCCGTTGTTGGTAATTGTCGTCATATTCACACCTGTTGGGGTCACCTTACCCTCCGCACAGGTGATGTTGAGGGTGTCACCTGCCCAAAACGTCATGGATGAGGCAGCCGAACCTCCGCTAGTTGGGATTATAACACCATCGGGGAAGGGTGGTGGAGGTGCTGTGACTGAGAGGAAGAAAGGATATGGTTAGGTTAGGTTAAGTTAGGTTAGGTTAGTATGAAAAGCTGATAAGATACATTGCAATATACAGTGTCATACTACATCTATACACTCACAATATCAGCCTATACACCCACAATATCACCCCTATACACCCACTCACCCTGTCGACACTGGAAGATATTTTGGTCTATGGTGGTCCAGTTTCCCTGCTGACAGGTGACGGTGATGTTAGAGCTCTCGTCACCAAAAAACAGCGTCTCGTCACATGTATACACAACCTGTCGATAAAATGTGGTGTTACGTGGTGTGTGTTGGGTGATATGACGTACTGTACTTAACTGTAATCTATAGTACATAACTGGAGCGTCACAAGGGAGGCGTCATACTGTTACGAAACATCCCTAAGATAGGTGGAATAGGTAAACGCCGCAACACCCATGATAACTCACCTGTGTGTCAGACTCTTTTGTGAAGCCGTCCCAGTCGTGACTACCCAAGGCCGGGGCAGCTATAGGATCCTGGAGGCACACTATGGGGATGGACCAAGTCAGATTAGGGTCGGGAACTTTAACTGATTTTACCTGATAATAAAACACCCTAATCTTATTTAACCTTCCCTTACCTAACCAAATCTAACCTAACCTAACCTTACCTTACCTTACCTTACCTTACCTTACCTTACCTTACCTTACCTTACCTTACCTTACCTTACCTTACCTTACCTTACCCCTCCCAATTAGCATCAAAGGTGTTTAATCATCAGGTGAAATAAATAAACCACGTGTACCTATTCATTAAGGGGTCAGGCTTCATAATTAACCTGACCTGAAAGATAAGTTAAAAATACTGGTACTAAACATGACTCATTAACACCTGATTAACATCTGAACTTAGAGTAAAATAATTGATAAAATGACTAACTTGTGGTGCAGTGTAGAGCAGTGCCATTATATGTCCACTGAGCGTCACTGTTGCAGGTCGCTGTTATCTCGGCCTGCGGCACTGTGTACGTCTGTGTGGAGGAGAGGTTGAGTACAGTACAGGCCAAGCTGACTGACTGAGTGTGGGGATTACCTGGTGGGGATTAACTCATTACTGGTGTGGGGGATTACCTGGTGGGGGATTAACTCATTACTGGTGTGGGGATTAACTCATTACTGGTGTGGGGATTACCTGCTGGGAGATTAACTCATTACTGGTGTGGGGATTACCTGCTGGGGGATTAAGTTATTACTGGTGTGGGGATTACCTGCTGGGGGATTAAGTCATTACTGGTGTGGGGATTACCTGGTGAGGGGATTACCTGATTAGTGATGGTATAGAGGCCCTCTTCGCAGGTGTAGGTGATGGTGGTTCCGAGGGTGTTGGCGGTGAAGTTGGCTCTGGTCATGTTGGATTCTGCTTCTGGCGGCTCCTCACTGCACCCTGTGTGAGAGTTGGTTAGGTTAGGTTAGGTTAGGTTGGTTAAGTTAAGTTTTATTAAATGGGGTTTGGATAGTTTAGGTTAAATTGGGTTAGGTTAGGTTAACGTTGGGGTTACTTGTCTTGGATTAGCTTTAATTGGGATGCGTTGGGGGAGGTTAGTTGTAGGCTAGATTAGATTGGCTAAGTTAGGTTTGATTAAATTGGGTTTGGTTAGGTTAGTGTGGGGTTAGATTGGGTTAGGTTTGGTTAGGTTAGTGTTAGGGTTAGATTGGGTTAGGTTTGGTTAGGTTAGCGTTGGGGTTAGGTTAGGTTAGGTTAGGTTTGGTTAGGTTAGCGTTGGGGTTAAATTGGGTTAGGTTTGGTTAGGTTAGTGTTAGGGATATCTGGTGATATAAAAAGAGAAACCGTGACTACTATAACAAGAAGAGGAGGAAGATGGACTTACTCCCATGATAAACCCGGGAGGAAGAGGAAGACAAGATTCGCCCCCATAACAAGGAAAGGAAGAAGGAAGAGGAGGAGGAAGACAAGACTAGACTCGCCCTCATAGCCTGCAAAGGAGGAGGAGGAGGAAGACGAGGAATAGAAGTAATAAGAGGAATAGGAGGAGGAAGAAAAACCAAAACAAGACTGACCAGCATAGCAAGCAGGGGGCTGTTCCCACCCAGTCTCGGTACACGTGACGACCTGGGTGTTGTTAGTTAAAGTAGCTACGTGTTTCTCATTACAAGTAGCGGTGACGGTGGTGTTGATCTTGTAGGTGTTGCTGAGGTCCCAGTCTGTGGTTGCGTTGCCCACTGTGGGTTCGCCGAGACAGACTGTGGGTGTTGAGAGGTGGTAACTGTGGGCAATTTGAGGGGTTTTGGTGAGGATTATTATATGGTATTTACCCACTTTCTCTGCCCATTTGTTCCTTAGTTTATTAATCTAACCTAACTTAACTTAACCTAATCGATGATAACTATATAAGAGAGAGAGAGAACACACCATCATTTCTCACCATCACACGGAGCTACAGTGGCGGGATGGTGAAGGTAAGTGGAGTTTTCATAGACACAGGTTATCGTCTGTGTAGTATTCCCTTCCTGTGTTGACATATTGGCCGGGCAGGTAAAGTTGATGGAGCCGTTCAGGTAGCGTACGTTGGTCGACTCTTCCCTGGTCATGAGTGACGAGGGGGCGGTGGGTAGGTCCTCTGTGCATACTGTAGGGGAGGAGGAGTGACATGTAAGGGTTACTCATGGTGGGGAAGGGTGATGTGTAGGGGTTACTCGTGTTAAAAAGGGTTACTCATTGTGGGGAAGGGTGATGTGTAGGGGTTACTCATGTTAAAAAGGGTTACTCATTGTGGGGGAAGGGGATGTAGGGAATACTAAAGTTAAAAAGAGTTACCTGGTCAGGGGAAGGTGATGTGTAGGGGTTATCTATGTTAAAAAGGGTTACTCATTGTGGGAAGGGTGATGTGTAGGGTTATCATGTTAAAAAGGGTTACCCATTGTGGGGAAGGGTGATGTATAGGGGTTACCTCTCATGTTAAAAGGGTTACTCATGGTGGGGAAGGGTGATGTGTAGGGGTTACTCGTGTTAAAAAGGGTTACTCATTGTGGGGAAGGGTGATGTGTAGGGGTTACTCATGTTAAAAAGGGTTACTCATCCATGGAAAGGGTAACTCATTCATGACAAGGGCTACTCTAGTTTTACTCATCCATGACACTGTTGACTCATGACTGGTGACTCTCTGGTGACTCCTTCATGACTCACCGTCTATAGGGAAGCAGTTATGAACAGTCCGGGGATACCAGCCACCGAGTTGACCAACACACTTCACTGTCATGCTGGACAGACTGAGGTTGGCGTTGAGAAAGTAACCCGGATAGCACCTGTGTGAGAGTGACACCTGTAAAGACCTGTGAGTGACACACCTGTGAGTGACACCTGTAGCACCTGTACGGGACGCGAGAGACTGACCTTTGTAACACTTGTTTGAGAGATTAAGGATTGGACAGCATTAGACAGGAGATGACAAGATTTTTGTAGACAGTAGTATTAGTAGTAATAATAGTAGACAGCAATGGCTCTAGACAGGATTATAAAATGTGACAGTAATAGACGGATAAATGACAGCAATAGATGGATAAAACATGACAGCAATAGATGGCTAAATGACAGCAATAGACGGATAAAACATGACACCAATAGCCGGATAAATGACAGCAATACACGGATAAATGACAGTAATAGACGGAGATAATGCGACTCACGTATATACAAGGACAGTAGCCAAGGCGGTCTCAGTACTCTCCCACGTCCATGAAGAACGAGTCATGTTCGTCGTCGGCTCCCAAGGTGCATCCCAGCAGCCTGTAGGAGGCGAATATAGGTTAGGTTTTGTTTGGTTAGGTTAGGTTAGGTTTGGTTAGGTTAGGTTAGGTTTGGTGAGGTTTGGTTAGGTTAGGTTCAGGTTAGGTTGAACTTATGACTTGTTGGGTGTTTAGATTAATTGGTCTATTGCGAGTATTTACGACACGTTAATTCCACACACACACACACACACACACACACACACACACACACACACACTCTACCACCTACCCATGGGACCAAGATGCTGACAGATAAGGGTCGTGGCATCATTACCAGTCAGTCCAGTAGCCTCCTTGAAGGTCGAATCTCCCTCCTTCGTCTCCGGCACCGTCAGTAGCCTCCAGCCGGTGGTGGTTGACGGTGACTTTACGGCCTTCTGTATGTCTGAACTGACGGTGTATATCCCTGAAGCTGACCAGTCTCCCCACCTGTTGAGATACGTGGGTTGAGCTGAGTGTTTTGTGTCTTAGTGAGGTGTAGATGTGTCTCAGTGTTGTAGGTATGTGTCTCAGTGTTGTAGGGATGTCTCAGTGTTGTTGGTATGTGTCTTAGTTTTGTAGGTATGTGTCTCAGTGTTGTAGGTATGTGTCTTAGTGTAGTGTAGATGTGTTTTTGTTGTAGGGATGTGTCTCAGTGTTGTTGGTATGTGTCTGTTGTTGGTATGTGTCTCAGTGTTGTTGGGTGTCTCAGTGTTGTATGTGTGTCTCAGTGTTGTAGATATGTGTGTTGTGGGTATGTGTCTCTCAGTGTTGTAGGTATGTGTCTTAGTGTGTAGATGTATTTTGTTGTAGGGATGTGTCTCAGTGTTGCAGGTATGTGTCTTATGTAGATGTATTTTTGTTGTAGGATGTCTCAGTGTTGTTGGTATGTGTCTGTTGTTGGTATGTGTCTCTCAGTGTTGTTGGTATGTGTCTCAGTGTTGTAGGCATGTGTTCCCAGTGTTGTAGGTATGTGTCTCAGTGTTGTATTATGTCTGTTGTGGGGTATGTGTCTCAGTGTTGTGTAGATATGTCTGTTGTGGGTATGTGTCTCAGTGTTGTGGGAGGATGTTCCTGTTGTTGGTATGTGTCTCAGTGTTGCAGGTATGTTCCAGTGTTGTAGGTATGTGTCTCAGTGTTGTAGATATGTCTGTTATGGGTATGTGTCTCAGTGTTGTAGGGATGTCTCTGTTGTTGGTATGTGTCTCAGTGTTGTATGATGTCTCTGTTGTTGGTATGTGTCTCAGTGTTGTGTATGTGTGTTGTGTGTATGTGTCTCAGTGTTGTAGGTATGTGTCTCAGTGTTGTAGGATGTTCTGTTGTAGGTATGTGTCTCAGTGTTGTAGGGATGTCTCAGTGTTGTTGGTATGTGTCTTAGTTTTGTAGGTATGTGTCTCAGTGTTGTAGGTATGTGTCTTAGTGTAGTGTAGATGTGTTTTTGTTGTAGGGATGTGTCTCAGTGTTGTTGGTATGTGTCTGTTGTTGGTATGTGTCTCAGTGTTGTTGGTGTCTCAGTGTTGTAGATATGTGTGTTGTGGGTATGTGTCTCAGTGTTAAGTATTTATAAGTGAAGGAACGTAACATTAAGTAATTTAGTACAAAGTTTATGTTTAAGTGAAGGGGAGGAAAGTAAATTATAGTTACTTATACTTTATGGTTACTTATACTTTATGGTTACTTATACTCTATAGTTACTTATACTTTATGGTTACTTATACTTACACATTGTTGAGTCCCACCATGACATCTAGTGGTAGCGTCTTGCTGTCCTGGGAAAAAAATAGAGTAAATTTTAAGGAGGTTTAGTACATTTTAAGGAGGTTTAGTACATTTTAGGGAGGTTTAGTAAATTTTAGGGAGGTTTAGTACATTTTAGGGAGGTTTAGTACATTTTAGGGAGGTTTAGTACATTTTAGGGGGTTTAGTACATTTTAGAGAGGTTTAGTACATTTAAAGGAGCAAATTCATTTCAAGCATTTAGTACCTATGAAATACTATTTTTTATACATGCTGAACTGTATACCTGCATTGCTCCTTCCTCCCTCCCTCCCTCCCTCCCTCCTCCCCTCCCTCCCTCCTCCCTCCCTCCCTCCCTCCCTCCTCCCTCCCTCCCTCCCTCCCTCACTCACAGCAGTAGCTAGATCGTAGACGAGTGTTGAGAGGTACTTCAGTGTGTCCAGGTCCTGAGGATAAGCTAGAGACGACCCCTCCTTGTTGCACTCTGCCAGCGCCCCCACCAGGTCATCCCCCTGGTCGAATTTCACCTGGTAGCAAAGACCTCTGTACCTGGTATAGTCTGGCGGGCAGTAACCTGTGTGTGGGAGGTTAGGTTGGTTGTGGGGAGGCTATAGTAGATTGTGGGGAGATTATTGCAGATTGTGGGGAAGTTATTGTTGGGTTGTGGGTAAAATAATATAAGAAAATATGGAGAAGTAAATAAGATACTGGGGATGATATAGGCTAATGGGGAGAATATAAGCTAATGGGGAGAATATCAGTTACTGGGGAGGATATTAATCACCCACCTGGCAACATACAGACAGCTTGTATAGTGGAGTCATTACACGACACGTATTTTCTGGCCTTTGACGTCACTACCAGGCATTCTTTGTCTGCGGTGGCCTGTGGGTAGAGAGAACTGTGTGGGTATAGTGTGTGGGTAAAGAGTGTGGGTATAGTTTGTATATCTATCTCCATCCATACATCTATCATATCCATCCACATATCCATCTATCTATCCATCTATCTATCTATCTATCTATCTCACCTCACAGTCAGTTGAACAGGAGAGTGTGTGAGCTGTGGCGGTGTCTGGCTTTACGCTGTTGACATCTGTACCTCTGAAAGTGAAAAATATTACCTTTATTTAACACTTAAGTGACCCATTGGAATTAGGTTAGCTTTGGTTGGGTATGGTTGGGGTGGGTTGGTTTTGGCTTTGATTTGGTTAGATTAAGTTAGTTGGGGTTAGGTTAAGTTATATTGGGATAGATCAGGTTAGGTTAAGTTATATTGGGATAGGTCAGGTTAGGTTAAGTTATATTGGGATAGGTCAGGTCAGGTTAGGTTAGATTATGTTATAGGTTTTTATGAGTTAGATTAGGTTAAGTTAGGTTAGGTTAGGGGGGGCTAATTTTTAGGTGACTGCCTTACCTCTGCGTGTGTGCCGTATAATAGTACTTGTTAGGTGATGCAGTACTCAGGTCCGTGGTGTTAAGGACGGTCCCCAATGTGCTGTTTAAGTTGTAGCACCTGTAGGAGATAATTAACCTGGTGAAGAGTGGCTTAATTTAACTTAAGGTACCCTGACCTGACCTAACATGCCCAAATATATCCTAATCTAACATAATATAACAACCCTGTCTGACCTGACCTGACCTAACCTGACCTAATCTAACATAACATAATATAACATAACCCTGTCTGACCTGACCTAACCTAACCTGACCTAATCTAATCTAACATAACATAATATAACATAACCCTGTCTGACCTGACCTAACCTAATCTAACAGCCTACTTTTTCCCTCAACCATACCCTCTCCCCAACACCCCTACCCTCTCCCCAACACCCATACCCTCTCCCCAACACCCCCCTACCCTCTCCCCAACACCCCTACCCTCTCCCCAACACCCCCATACCCTCTCCCCAACACCCATACTCCTCTCCCCAACACCCCTATACCCTCAACACCCCCTACCCTCTCCCCAACATCCCCATACCCTCTCCCCAACACCCATACCCTCTCCCCAACACCCCCATACCCTCTCCCCAACACCCCCATACCGTCTCCCCAACACCCCTACCCTCTACTCACTGAAGGGCAGCTGAGACTATCCCCTTTGACGCAGGTGTCGTGGTGAGCTGGTAACACCTTGTCTTAATCACCGACTTGAACCAACCTTCTGGGCACTTAACTGAGGGCGACAGACGGGGCATTTAGGGTAGGGAATAAACAGTGTGAAGGGGTATTTATGGTAGAGACGGGGCATTTTAGGGGGAAGGACGGGGTATTTAGGGTAGGGAATAGACAGTGTGAAGGGGTATTTATGGTAGAGACGGCATCTTAGGAGAGATATGTGGCATTTATGGTGTTAGACAGAGCTATCACCCACTATAACCACACACTCACCCACATACTTTTCACCAATGTATTATGAACGAAAGCATCACCAAATTACTGTTGATATAAAAAAAAAGAGTTAAGAAATACTAACGTGTACAGGGAAGAACCAGAGAGTAGTTCCAGGAGTGTGTGTTGGCGACGGAGTTGGTAACACACTGTACTACGCCGCTACTGGACCTTACACCCGCCTCCTTCCCCTCCAGGTAGTAACTCTGTGTACACCGGTAGGTTATGTTAGTGCCTGGAGAGCGGCTGACGGGTACGGTCACGTTGGTCTTGGTGTTGGTGGGCCACGAGGGGTCTGCTCCTACCAGTGGCGGGCAGGACGAATCTGTAGGGTGAGAAGGGGCTTGTTGACACACTGTAGGGTGGGGGAGGGGCTTGTTGACACACTGTAGGGTGGGGGAGGGTCTTGTTGACACACTGTAGGGTGGGGGAGGATCTTATTAACACACCCTCACTGATCGTAGTCTAGGGGTCGTAGTATAGTAGTTCAACTTACCCTTGTCGTAGCTTAATGGTCGTAGCCAGATCGTGACCTTGTCGATGGTGGTGTTGGACAGTGGCGGCCATTTTATCTCACTTCCGGTCAAGTCAGCCTGGGGTCACGTAATTAATTTTTGTTACGTCATAATTAATCTTAAATATGTTATAATTAATCTTGAATTATATAAGTGACGTATTTAATTACCTTGATGTTATAATTGATCTTGATGTGTGATAATTGGCGTATTTTAATCTTATTTTATCGTAATTAAGCAAAAATTATATAAGTGTCGTATTTAATTACCTTGGTGTTATAATTGATCCTGAAGTGTAATGAATGACGTATTTAATTCACGTGTTATATTTAATTTTGAATCATAAATAAACTTTGTTGATTTCTGTCATAATTTATCTTAATCTCACAACCAGTATATCCACCACAACTTACAACCAGTACTACCACCACAACTCACAACTATTACCACCACAACTCACAACCAGTACTACCACCACAACTCACAACCAGTATTACCACCACAACTTACAACCAGTATTACCACCACAACTCACAACCAGTATTACCACCACAACTTACAACCAGTATTACCACCACAACTCACAACCAGTATTACCACCACAACTCACAACCAGTATTACCACCACAACTCACAACCAGTATTACCACCACAACTCACAACCAGTACTACAACAATACTCACAACCGAGGTATCACCCCACCAGTACGTGTTGTCACTTCTGATTTGAAACGTTTGTCCTGTACTGAGTAGCATTCCGTCACCTGAGAGAGAGAAGGTTAGGTTAGGTTAGGTTAGGATTAGGTTTGGTTTGGTTGGTTTAGGTTGGGTTTGGTTGGTTTAGGTTGGGTTTGGTTGGGTTGGTTGGTTAGGTTTGGGGCTTTGGTTGGTTTAGGTTGGTTGGTTTAGGTTGGTTTTGCTGGTTTAGGTTGGGTTGGTTTAGGCTGGTTTTGCTGGTTTGCTGGGTTTGCTGGTTTAGGCTGGGCTTGCTGGTTTAGGCTGGTTTAGGTTGGTTTTGCTGGTTTAGGCTGGTTGGTTTAGGCTGGGTTGGTTAGGTTAGGTTAGGTTTGGTTGGTTTAGGTTAGGTTAGGTTAGGATTAGGTTAGGTTTGGTTGGTTTAGGTTAGGTTTGGTTGGTTTAGGTTGGGTTTGGTTGGTTTAGGTTGGGTTAGGTTAGGCCAGGTTTGGTTGGCTTTGGTTGGTTATGTAAGGCAGACTATTCAGTGTTATATTACTCAAATTAGGTTATATTAAGCCAGGTTGGTTAGGTTAGGTTAAGTTGGTTAGGTGTGACGTCATATAGGCCACACCTGGTTCTGAGTTTGTTTCTTATGGCCTTTACTGTAGGTTAGGTTAGGTTAGGTTATAGACGTACTGACCCGCATCGCCGTGGAAAGTGCCTTGGCTGGTGAGCACAATCTGGTCTGTTGAGGTGGCGTTGACGGTGACGTGGTAGGTGGCGTGGTAGATGGTGCCTTTATTGTACTCCAGCACCACCTGTGTGTGAGAGACAGTGAGACAGACAGACAGAGAGAGAAATAGACAGAGTGAAAGAGAGAGAGAGGGGGGGGGCGTTTTAGGTGATGTAGTAGACGTATTGAAATGTAAACAAAACGTGTCCCGCCCCCCTTTTTATGACGTCATAAACAAACATAAGAACATAAGAATAAGGAGTCTGCAATAGGCCGGTTGGCCTGTGCATGGCAGCTCTTGTCGAGAGTTACTACCACTCTCTATCATCCATGAATCTATCTAGCCTCCTTTTAAAACTTTCCAGAGTTCCCGCACTTACTACAAAGTTGCTAAGCTTGTTCCACTCGTCCACCACCCTATTTGTGAACCAGTTCCTTCCTATCTCCCTCCTAAACCTAAACTTATCCAACTTAAATTCGTTGTTCCGAGTCCTATCCTGCTCGGTTATTATAAGAACTTTATCTATATCCCCTTTATTGATTCCTTTCACCCACTTAAATACTTCTATCATATCTCCCCGCACTCTTCGTCTTTCTAGGGAATGCAAGTTTAGTTTCTTTAACCGATCCTGATATGGAAGGTTTCTAAGTCCCGGAATCATTTTTGTCATTCTTCGCTGCACCGACTCTAGTGAATTGATATCTATTCTATAATAAGGGCACCAGAACTGAACCGCATAATCGAGGTGCGGCCTAACTAGCGCAAGATATAGTTGCAATAAGACCTCTGCACTCTTGTTACTTACACTTCTAGATATAAAACCCAATACTGTTTGCCTTATTTCGAACATTAACGCACTGTTTTCTAGGCCGTAGGTCTGGGCTTACAAGTACCCCTAGGTCTCTTTCACAAGTCGACTTCTCTAGGTTGATGTTGTTAAGGCTGTATACATTGACAGTATTTGTTCTTGCAATATTAAGTACCCTGAAGGTGTAAACATTGCGTGACGTGACTTACCTTCAGGATCAATGGACGACAACCGTAACAGCTGTCGTGGCCCAGGCGTAACACGTGTGTGGCACCTGTAAGTTGAAGGAAACATCTGTTATTAAGGTGATATACAGAAGGAGAGGAGAGGAGACAAAACAAGAGAAAGATGGGGTGGATGATGATGATGAAGAGAAAGAAGGAGATAAAGAAGAAGAAAATAAAGAAGAAATAAAGAAAAGAGGAAGATGATGATGATGATGATGAAGAAAATAAATAAGAGGAGGAATGGGAAAGGTGAAGAAGGAAGAGAAGAAGTAGATTAAGGGGAGAAGAAAGAAGAAAAAGAATATATGAAAATAATTGAGAGAGATGTTCTTCATTACCACTTAACCTACCACAAATCACTACCACTTAACCTACCACCAGTCACTACCACTTAACCTACCACCAGTCACTACCACTTAACCTACCACCAGTCACTGCCACTTAACCTACCACCAGTCACCACCACTTAACCTACCACCAGTCACTACCACTCAACCTACCACCAGTCACTACCACTTAACCTACCACCAGTCACTACCACTTAACCTACCACCAGTCACTACCACTTAACCTACCACCAGTCACTACCACTTAACCTACCACCAGTCACTACCACTTTAAGTCACTACTTCACTTAACCTACCACCAGTCACTACCACTTAACCTACCACCAGTCACTACCACTTAACCTACCACCAGTCACTACCACTTAACCTACCACCAGTCTACCACTTAACCTACCACCAGTCACTACCACTTAACCTACCACCAGTCACTACCACTTAACCTACCACCAGTCACTACCACTTAACCTACCACCAGTCACTACCACTTAACCTACCACCAGTCACTACCACTTAATCTACCACCAGTCACTACCACTTACCCATGAAATAACTAAGGCTCTTAGTTTCTAGATTATCGTCGGGAAAACCATTGGTAAAGTCACCCTCCATTACACCATTAGATGAATGATGGCGTAACATGAGCGTCCAGCCCCCACTTGCTGCTGTCTTGTCTGGCGTCGACTCACCCATGTCACACTCAACCTGAAGGGGGCAGAAATGGGTCAAAATGGGATAGATGGCATATGAGGGGGTAAAAATGGGTTTGTAAGACGTAAGAGGGGGGCAAAAATAGGTCAAATGGAGTTCCAAATGGGTTATGAGACATCTGAGAGGGCAGAAATGGGTTTTAATACACTTGAGAGGACAGAAATGGGTTTTAACACACTTGAGAGGACAGAAATGGGTTTTAACACACTTGAGAGGGCAGAAATGGGTTTTAACACACTTGAGAGGGCAGAAATGGGTTTTAACACACTTGAGAGGGCAGAAATGGGTTTTAACACACTTGAGAGGGCAGAAATGGGTTTTAACACACTGGAGAGGGCAGAAATGGGATATACTCTACTAATCCACAGTCCAACCATCCATCCATCCACTAACCATGATACCGTCTCTTGAACTGCCTAATGGTAAGACTTTGTAGATGCCAGACGTCTTGAAACCGAGTGTGTAGAGGACGGAACAGTCTCTCGGTAGGGGGCACTCTGAAGGGGGGGAGACAGAGAGATAGAGATTCTCTTTATCACCAACCTCGACTAACTCATGGTATCTCGTCGTGTTTTTCTCCTCATATTAAAGTTCTTCTGGTTATTTTTGGTGGTGGTTTATATTTTTGGAGGTGGTTTATGTTTTTGGAGGTGGTTTATATTTTTGGAGGTGGTTTTTATTTTGGAGGTGGTTTATATTTTGGAGGTGGTTTATATATTTGGAGGTGGTTTATATTTTTGGAGGTGGTTTATATTTTGGTGATTTATAATTCTGAGGTGATTTACAGTCCAAAATATCATATAAACATGGGACAATTTCACCATGTTATTTAACTCTGGGGGTATTTGTAGTTTACAAGTGATTTGTACAGTCACACCAAAAACTATCTATACGAAATTGTGTTGAAAAAATATGACACAACAGTGAATGATTTTGACAACCCTACCGAGACAACAGGAGTCACAGTGTTCATTATGGGGTTCATCTATCACCCCGAGTACAGGTAGTTTTTTTTTTTTTTTAGTGTAAATAATTGAAATGGTTTAGCTTCTTTACTTAATGGTTACCCCCAAACACTCTCAAAACACCCTCTCCCATACACACACACCCCCTTACCTTTTTCACAAGCATCAAGGAACATGTGGAATTGGCCGTTTTGTTTACAGCTAGAGACATGGCCATAGGAGCGGGAGGAGAGCCAAGCCGTCCCTTTAACACAGGTGTAGTAGTGGCCTTGGGAGTTAGGCAGGGCGGTGGCGGTGGTGCTGGCGATGGTCGGGGGGGCATCTGTACACTGGGTCGTGGATTCGACTGTGAGGGGGAGGGAGATGGTATGGTTAGTGAGAGAAAGAGAGACAAACGTGAACAAAATACTATAGAGAAAGAGAGAGAGAATTAAGAAAAATACTCACTACAGGTCTCGGTTTGTTCAGGTGGCTCCTCTTTGTCACAGCGCACGATGATCACGGACATGTTATTGTTCCAGCGCATCCCAGCCGGGCACGTCCACGCCTGCTTGATGCCCACCTCCAGGTCTGTCACCTCCTTCGTACTCTCCGCCGAGGTGGGGCACATTCCTCCCACACTGACTGCTGTCACGCGGGGTTATTATTATTGTCATTATTATCATTATTATTATTATTATTATTATTATTATTATTATTATTATTATTATTATTATTATTATTATTATTGTTGTAATGGCCAGCACCGGCTTGAAATCTTTTGAGAATATAATTGGCATACTTTGTGTAATTAACAGCTTATTAAAATAGTTCAGTGTGTGTGTGTGTGTGTGTGTGTGTGTGTGTGTGTGTGTGTGTGTGTGTGTGTGTGTGGCTGCAAAATGCCATGATAACACACACACCCAATCCAACCTAAATAACGTCAGGGTGTTTAATCACGAGGTAAAATAAGCCGGGGGACCGTGTGAGCACTCGTGACTACACCACATATACCAGGGACACAGTTCACTTGTTGCTGGTACAGGAATATATTGGCTGTTGACTTTAAAGTTCTCTTGATTTACTGTTAAGTGAAGGTGAGAGAGGAGATATATTTAGAGTTATGAGGTGTGTTGTTACCTGGATTTGAGACCTGACCTAACGTGGATTTGAGACCTGACCTAACCTGGATTTGAGACCTTTAATCTCATAACCTAACCTAACCTAACCTAACCTGGATTTGAGACCTGTTCTAACCTGGATTTGAGACCGACCTAACGTGGATTTGAGACCCAACCTAATTTGGACGAAGTGCCAACTGAACCCAACTTGACCAGGACCTGACCATAACTCAACCAACCTAACCTAACCTGGATTTGAGACCTGTTCTAACCTGACTATGACCTGACCTAATCTGGATTTGAGACCCGACCTAACCTGGATTTGAGACCTGACCTAACTTGGGATTTGAGACCCAACCTAACGTGGATTTGAAGCAACCGTAATCTAGCCTGATTTTGAGACCTGACCTAACCTGATTTGACCTAACCTAATGGACGAAGCAACCGAATCTAGCCTGGATTTGAGACCTGACCTAATCTGGATTTAGACCTGGACTTAACCTGGATTTGAGACCTGACCTAACTCTGGATTTGAGACCTAACCTAACGTGGATTCGAAGCAACCGAATCTAGCTTGACGAGACCTGACCTAATCTGGATTTGAGACCTGACCTAACCTGATTTGAGACCTGAATCAACCTGGATTTGAAAATTCCAACCTAACGTGGATTGGAGACCCGGACCACAACCCAACCTGGATTTGAGACCCAACTAACCTAACCTAACTCCACCTAACCTAACTAACCTACTCAACCTAACCTAAATCCCAGCCTAACTCAACCCGATCTGAACTTTCAACCCAATCCCCGCTATCTTGGTATTCATAGGCTACTTCAGAGCTACACACGCAGTATATGAATTCAGCCTCTTTATACATACACATCGTCGCCAGCCAAGAAAAGAATAATATATGAGAAACTGAATCTTTTTGAAAATATCTAACACCCTATATAAAATATACCTGTAAATAGCGATAAATAGCAAACCACTTTGGTACCGATAAAATAGCCAATAGCGTTCGTGGATCTTGAGCCTATCCCTCCTTCCCCTCCCCTCCCCTCCCCCCCCTCCCCTCCCCCTCACCACCACAATCCACCAATCATAATCAATTTTCGTGCTTTAGGCTACACTTTGGCCAATCGCAATTTTGCTAACTCATATGCGTGGTTATGGCCAGTCATAGTGGTGGGTTATGGAAGTGAGTTATAGTGGTGGGATAAGGAGGTGGGTTATGGAGGTGGCTTATAGTGGTGGGTTTGAAGGTGGGTTAGAAAGGTGGGTTTAAGTGAATATTTTCTAACCTTGTCACATTTCAGAGAGAGAGAGAGAGAGAGAAAGAGTCGGTCGCACGAGACATCCCTAGCCACCATAACGTCATATTTCAACACTGACTAACATTACTAAACATAATTATCCTTTTATAATAAATATCGTACCCGACTATTATATAAATATTATAAATAGAATATCACCGCCATATTGTAGTACACGCACAATATTTAGAATTACCTAATATAAAGGAAATATTCGTCTCTCTGGCTAAAACATATTGCGAACTCAAGGGTAATTTCACCTTTGTACACACCAGTGATCACCTCCAGCATACATCACCGTGCAATTAATTTATCCAAGATCTCATAATATTTACAGATACTTTCACTGTGAATATTATCAAAAAGAAAATAGATTCACTTAAAAAACCGCCCACGACTACCAACACCGCCCACGACGACCAACACCGCCCACGGCTACCAACACCGCCCACGACGACCAACACTGCCCACGACGACCAACACCGCCCACGACTACCAACACTGCCCACGACGACCAACACCGCTCCACGACTACCAACACTGCCTCACGATTTGACCAACACCGCCCACGACGACCAACACCGCCCACGGCTACCAACACTGCCCACGACTACCAATAACACCTGCCCACGACTACCAACACCGCCCACGACTAATACTACTAACACTGGCCTAAAACACCAATATCTACTCCGCGATATTGGCGAAACATTCTATATCAGCATAAAGACTGCATGATACCCCAAGTGGGCAAGTAAGAGCAATGGGAGAGCTACAGCTCTTGAGAACTGATCGCCAACAACATGTAACCTCCTCCTCCCCCTCCAATCCCTCTCCATCCCCCTCTCTCTCCAATCCCTCCTCCCTCCACCCCCACCCCTCAATCCCTCCCCACTTTGTTTCATTCTTTTTTCTGATCTTACACTCGACCACATAACCCAAGTTAACTGTACTATACCATGCGAAGCTGTACTCGTTCTCATGTTATTGTGTTGTTTTACTGTACCTGTATATTTTGGGCTTCGAAGTTACAGCTGTAGGTCTTTATGTACCGAATTTAGTGTGTGTGTGTGTGTGTGTGTGTGTGTGTGTGTGTGTGTGTGTTGTATTTACGTGTTTCTGAACATACTGAAGGTACACAGGAGAGAGAGAGAGAGAGAGAGACTTAATTAAAGAAATTCCTCCATTACTTTCAAGGTTAGGTTTGGTTAGGCATAGGTTAGGTTAGGTTGGGATGGTTTGGTTAGGCATAGGTTAGGTTAGGTTGGGATGGTTTGGTTAGGCATAGGTTAGGTTAGGTTAGGTTGGGATGGTTTGGTTAGGCATAGGTTAGGTTAGGTTAGGTTGGGATGGTTTGGTTAGGTTAGTTGGGATTGTTTGATAAATTTTGATTAGATTAAGTTATGTTAGTATATTTTTGCATCGTTACTGACCGATTAATGTCACGTTTGGACTATCTAGCAGTTAAACGCTTAAACCACAAAGGAAAATAATAACAGCTGAACACGACGCTGTTTTTTATGCTTGAGTGGGGAACAAAAGCTTTTTTGGAGAATAATTGTAAAGAAGTTCAGGTACTTACAAAGACAAACTGGATCACCTGAAGAATGTCCACCCAAGCTTATTTCACTTAAAGCTTAACTTACCTATTTTGTGGGGATGATGTTAGGTTAGGTTAGCGTGAGGTTACTTCAGGTTAGGTTAGGTTAACGTTAAGTTACCTAACCTAACCCCTGTCAGGTAGCGTGAGGGTATTTAATCAACAGGTGGAATATGCTGGAGTGTTTAATAAACTTCAAGTGTCTCGTTTAGTGAGCAAATATTTATTTTTTCACATGAGTTTAGTTGTAAGAGTTTTTCACGTGAAAGCAATTTACTGCTTGTCACGATATTCAGTGTATTAGGGAGGGGAGGGGGAGGTGGCCGAGTGATGAAAACGCCCAACTCTCGCCCTAAAGGTCACTGGTTCGCGCCATGGAAACTCACCAATGTAAAGTCACATTCAAAAGTCCTGTCGCTTCTGCTGCTGCTTCACGGACCCAGAGAGTCATACTTATGAATCCGAAGCACTAGACTGATACATTATTCCCTCCATAAATGCTTCGGGTTCACGAGTATGAATCTCTGGGTTCGTGAAGCAGCAGCAGAAACGACAGTACTTTTGACCGTGACTACAGTGTACTATATCCACCACGGTTCCTAATATCCCTCAACCATATATGGGGCCCCACTATCACTACTAGGAGAAATAAAAGAGAGAGAGAGAGAGAGAGAGAAGATAAAAAATAGAGAAACAATGCAGATTATTATTGTGTTTTCATTTATAAATTTCAGAAGTTGTATTTTTTGGTTTTAATTAGTGAGGTTGTTGTTGTAGTTCTTGACGTTGGTGTATTTTTGGTTGTAGTTGTAACTTAGAATATTTTTTATGGAGTTAGGTTAAGTTACGTTACGTTATGTTAAGTTTGGTTCAATGTGAAGATTAGTGTTATTTTTCCAGTCATCAGATAAATAACCTAACCTAACCAAAACCTAACCCTAACCGAACCTAACCTAACCCTAACCTAACCTAACCCTAACCTAACCTAACCCTGACCTAACCTAACCCTGACCTAACCTAACCCTAACCGAACCTAACCTAACCTCAAACATTTCCCCGGTTATTTTACAGAATGTCTGATAAATGATGACAGTTTTCAAGGTTTATCACCGAGGTTTTAGATCGGAGTGACGGGAGATTTATTATATATGTTAAACTGGTATTGTATGAGTAGAGAGCAACTTTCCTTCCTTCCTTCCTTCCTTCCTTCCTTCCTTTCTTTCTTTCTTTCTTTCTTTCTTCCCTTCCTTTCTTCCTTCCTTCCTTCCCTCCCTTCCCTTCATTCCTTCCCTCCCTTCCCTTCATTCCTTTCTTCCTTCCTTCATTCCTTCTTTCATTCCTTCCCTCACACCGTTCTTCCCTCGTTCATTTCCCTTTCTCCCATTCCTTCATTCGTTCCTTCCTTCATTCGTTCCCTCCTTCCTTCCTTCCTTCCTTCCTTCCTTCATTCATTCATTCGTTCCCTCCTTCCTTCCTTCCTCCTTGTAAGTGTATTCCAAATAGTCCCTTTGTTATATTGTAAGTGTGTGTGTGTGTGTGTGTGTTGAATAAAATTGACTTGGTAACGCTGAACACACACACACACACACACACACACACACGCACACGCACGCACACGTTATAATGTCAATACTAAATTATTCAAGACTAATACTGAATTATTTAAGTTCAGTATTAGTACAAAAAAAAATAAAATCTCACGAGAATTTTATAATTTCACTTAAAAATGACCTCAAGTGATAAAACATATTAGTTTTAGGAATCATAGAACTACATATAATTACAGGTGCTATAATACAGGTATAATTATAGCCCAGGTAGACGTGGTGAGCTAATTATATATTGAACTATTGGGATAACTTGATAGAGGTGTTAGTGAATTCATTTGGGGTCCGTAATGGTAATTCTTAAGCTATTATGTCACTTTCGTTAACTATTGTCACTTTCTTTAGCTATTATGTCATTTTCTTAAGCTATTATGTCACTTTCTTAAGCTATAGTGTCACTTAAGCTATTGCGTCACTTTCTTAAGCTATTATGTCACTTTCCTTAACTTTTGTCATTTTCTTAAGCTATTATGTCATTTTCTTAAGCTATTATGTCACTTTCTTAAGCTATTATGTCATTTTCTTAAGCTATTATGTCACTTTCTTAACCTATTACGTCACTTTCTTTAACTATTGTCACTTTCTTTAGCTATTATGTCACTAAGGTGGAGAGGTCATAGGTTAAGGTGATAACTGTAGCTGCTAACGATGGGTCACCTAGGTTCTCTTGGAGGCGGTGAGTGGTGGTGGTGAGTGGTGGTGGTGAGTGATGGTGGTGGTGAGTGATGGTGGTGAGTCTTGGTTTTTGTGGCAAGTGCAATTTTAACACAGCACGCTATTATTTACTGAACTAGTGTGTGTGTGTGTGTGTGTGTGTGTGTGTGTGTGTGTGTGTGTGTGTGTGTGTTAACAAAAACACACTACCATTACCATTCTCCCTCCCCCTATTACCTGTTTTCCTGCCACCCTTTACACCTACCGCCCATTACACCTCCCACCCATTACAGCTGCCGCCCATTACACCTGCCGCCCATTACACCTGCCACCCATTACAGCTGCCGCCCATTACACCTGCCACCCATTACGATCTCCTGCCGTAGTTCTCATACCTGTACCTGTAATCAACTGTACCTGTATTTACCTGTTTACTGCACCTTCTGAGTCAATATTTAAATAACTGTTGCTTAGAAATTAGCAAATGTGATTAAGATCCGTGCATTCTTGTCTAACCTGAAGCATACTTGTTTCTTACCTGGAGCATACTTGTTTCTTACCTGGAGCATACTTGTTTCTTACCTGGAGCATATTTGTCTTACCTGATGCATTGTTGTCTCTTACCTGAGGCATACTTGTTTCTTACCTGGAGCATACTTGTTTCTTACCTGGAGCATATTTGTCTTACCTGATGCATTGTTGTCTCTTACCTGAGGCATACTTGTTTCTTACCTGGAGCATACTTGTTTCTTACCTGGAGCATATTTGTCTTACCTGATGCATTGTTGTCTCTTACCTGAGGCATACTTCTTTCTTACCTGGAGCATACTTGTTTCTTACCTGGAGCATATGCATATTTTCTTACCTGTGGTTTCTTACCTGGGAGCATACTTGTTTCTTACCTGGTGCATATTTCTCTTACCTGTGCATACTTGTCTCTTACCTGAGGCATACTCCTTTCTTACCTGGAGCATACTTCTTTCTTACCTGGTGCATACTTCTTTCTTACCTGGTGCATACTTCTTTCTTACCTGGTGCATACTTCTTTCTTACCTGGAGCATACTTCTTTCTTACCTGGTGCATACTCTTTTTACCTGAGCATACTTCTTTCTTACCTGGTGCATACTTCTTTCTTACCTGGTGCATACTCCGTTCTTACCTGGAGCATACTTCCTTCTTACCTGAACATACTTCTTTCTTACCTGGTGCATACTTCTTTCTTACCTGGTGCATACTCGTCTCTTACCTGGTGTATACTTCTTTCTTACCTGGTGCATACTTCTTTCTTACCTGGTGGGGTGCCTTGTCTCTTACCTGGAGCATACTCCTTCTTACCTGGTGCTCTTCTTTACTCGTCTCTTACCTGAGCATACTCGTCTCTTACCTGGTCTTTTCTTACCTGGTGCATACTTCTTTCTTACCTGGTGGTGCATACTTGTCTCTTACCTGGAGCATACTTCCTTCTTACCTGGTGTATACTTCTTTCTTACCTGGTGCATACTCGTCTCTTACCTGGTGCATACTCGTCTCTTACCTGGTGTATACTTCTTTCTTACCTGGTGCATACTTCTTTCTTACCTGGTGGTGCATACTTGTCTCTTACCTGGAGCATACTTCTTTCTTACCTGGAGCATACTCGTCTCTTACCTGGTGCATATTTGTCTTACCTGGTATATTCTTGTCTCTTACCTGGGGCATACTTCTTTCTTACCTGGTGCATACTTATTTCGCTTCGTGCATACATGTGTGACGTCATATAGCCCCACCTACCCCTGGCGGGCCTCTACGAAACTTACCTGTCAGGAGGAGGAGCCCAAGGACACCCTCGAGACGTCTGGGTTCCATCATAAAGGTGTCGTCAGCAGGTCACATCAGCGCCCCTGTCAGCAGATATGTCAGCTTGTCAGTCAATTGGTACATCAGCAGCGGCAGCCAGCTTGAAAGTGAGCCCTGAAGCCTGACTGAAGTGTGGGCCAGGGAGAATTTAACCGACCAATCAGGGTGATTTCTTTCAAAGTAGAAGCGCACATGTGACCAATCAGAACAAAATCCTTGAAATAACTAACCAATCCGCGTGCTCTATTGTCGGTATGTAGCTCGTTTGGCCAATGAGATCAGTATTTTTGTGGTTAAGCTCCACCTGTTTTTGTGGCCCCGCCCTTAAAACACGTGTCATGTTATAATGTATCCTGATAAACTGTAATGGAATATGAATATTTGAGTTAATGAAAAATAAATATTACTTTGACTCTGAGATGAAAACTATTGAATACTTTCTGGCAAAACTTTATGAAAAAACTAATGTGACACACCTGTATGGGGGCCACAACACCTGTATGGGCCACAACACACCTGTATGGGGGCCACAACACACCTGTATGGGCCACAACACACCTGTATGGGCCACAACACACCTGTATGGGGCCACAACACACTGTATGGGGAGCCACAACACACCTGTATACACAACACACCTGTATGGAGCCAACCACACCAACACACCTGTATGGGCCACAACACACACCAACACACCAACTTGCACCTGGGGCAATGGGTACAACACACCTGTAGACCTGTACACACACCTGTATAGGGGGCCCCACACAACACACACCTGTTTGGGGCCACAACACACATGGAGCCACCTGTATGGAGCCACAACACACCTGTATGGGGCCACAACACCTGTGTATGGGACCACAACACACCTGTATATATATAACCTATTAATCTAACTTGTGTTTACTTGACTTAAACTATGTTAGGTATTTAACTCAAGAAATTAACCCATCTTACTACTCTCTCTACCTAATTTAACCTAACCTAACTCCTAACCTAATCTTACCTAACCCAACCTAACTTAACTTAGCCCAAGTAAGAAAACAAACTAACCCATTCCAGCTAACCCAACCAAACCTAATCTAACCTGACTAAACTAACGCAACCTAACCTAATTTAATTGTTCGAGCCTAACTTAACTAACCCAGCCCAGCCCAACCAAATCAAGCTTAACTTAACCCCAATCGAACTTAATCTAACCTAACTGAACCACCCTAACAACCTAACCTAAACTAACCTAACACTATCAACCACTTTGTACACACACACACACCTCATGTTTACCTCTGTGGTCATGGTGATGGTAGAGTGAGCTTCCTTTTGACACCATTCTCTCATCCTTACTGACAACATTATCTTATATTCTTATTTTTTAACAACAAATTGTATCTTTACTTATTGACAACATCATCGTGGTATTTATCTTTTACTGACAACATCAATATTTCACTGCCAACATCAATATTTCACTGCCAACATCAATATTTCACTGCCAACATCAGGTAATATGTTTTCCTCATTGACAACGAGTTAAGGGTCTTCTCTAAACAGTTTATAATACAATATATTAACTTAATCCCACTATGCCTCTTTTTTTTACTCTGGCCGACACTGTACTCAACCACCTTCACTTCCTCAACTGTAACGTAAGGTATCCATTTACAGGTGGGTGGACTGTGGGTTCGAACTGGTTGTCATAAGGATAGGAGACGAGCCATGCCTCCACTCGACCACCGCATCTCTTAAGCTAACCTAACTTAAGCTATCCTGAAATATTCTTCCCTTTACACACACACACATACACACTACAGTACTTCATGTTGAGTTATTCTTCAATATAACATAAAACATATTTATATAAAGACAAACACTATTGACAGTTTTTTAACCTGTTTATAGTTGACTGTCACGATACCTGTCAAGAGGTAACTGGACACTACGAAGGCCACCAGTTACAGCCGAGACGTGAAAAGTTGACAGTTAATTGACTAAACGAACGGTGGTGGTAGAGTGGTAACTGATCTATGTCTCAACCCTGTGTCCTTGGATCGATTCCCCGTGAGAAGCGAGCTATCCTAGGTGACCTGACCGTACCTGTAACCTCCCTTAACAGTCTAACCTAACCTAACTCTAATTGGGGGGGGGGTACGTTAGGTTAGTGCTAGATTAGGTTAAGTACTGTGGTAAATCCTCAGGTGATCTACAAGAACGTATCCGTATATTTCAAGGTAATATTGCAGGTTAAAATCAGGTGATATTTGTACACTCCCTTGTTGAAAACACTTCAAGGAAATATTGAGGTGACATAGTGTAAATTATTATTATTATTATTATTATTATTATTATTATTATTGTTATTGTTGTTGTTGTTGTTATTATTATTATTATTATTATTATTATTATTATTATTATTATTATTATTATTATTATTATTATTATTATTATTATTATTATTATTATTATTAGCAGTATAATGCTTATAACTCATTTAATGGAATTCCTAAACATTAAAAACATTGGAACTCTGAAACATTACCAGTTGGAAGAGTTACCCCTCAACATCATCTAGCATATGAGCCCTTTCGCCGTCACAGAAAACGGTGGTGGACTTGAGTACAGACCATAATATTTAGTAACTGTAGAGATAGATTGGTGTTTATTCAGTAAAAGCGTCGTCTAAGTGCTAACGCTAACCTAACCAAACCTAACCTAACTTTATTGTGACCTAACTTGACCTAACACTTACCCAACCTAACCTGAATTCAACCTAACCTAACCCCACCCCCAGGTATCATTTGAGGTGTTTAAGCATCAGGTGAAACACTTCAGACTGTAACTCTGACTGGTGGGTTATACAGCGGTCAGAAATACATAAAACCAGTCACCTTTGCTGTAGTTTCATTAGTTATGTATTTCTTATAATTATTCCAGTTTTTGTAGCTCTAAATTACAGTGTATCAGGTTCTACAAAAAATACATTAAATACGTCTAGTGATTTGTAAATAAGCTATACATTACTGTAAAATTATTCTCTCATTTAGATTTACCTTGAAAATCAAATTAAAAATCCCTCAGGTAAGCCAAGGTGAAGGATTAATTAGATTTACCTTTCAAACCAAATTAATAATCCTACAGGTAAGCCAAAGTGGTGTATTAATTTGATTTACCTTTAAAACCAAATTAATATTCCTTGTCAGTTAATCAGTCATCATCATCATCGTCATTTGCTAAGGTTCACCACTTGGGCATCACTGTGGGCAGGTGGTGGGCAGGTGGTGGGCATGGAATGAGTGTCTTTGAATGTTACCTGATCATCTAGTTTGGAATAAAGTTTTTCTAGTTGATTAGTTGATGAGGTTACAAATTATACCTTGACATTTTCCCTTGGTAGTGCAGGTAACTATGTCTAACTTACCTTGACATTACTACCTTGAATACGATGACTTTTGGAGTTGGTGGCTAAAGTATTCAAAAGGTTAAGTCATCGTATTCAAAGGGTTAAGTCATCGTATTCAAAGGGTTAAGTCATCGTATTCAAAGGGTTAAGTCATCGTATTCAAAAGGTTAAGTCATCGTATTCATGGGGTTAAGTCATCGTATTCAAGGGGTTAAGTCATCGTATTCAAAGGGTTAAGTCATCGTATTCAATTATTCAAGGGGTTAGGTTAGGGTGTTTTAACATCAGGTGAAATAAATAGAGGTGCCTAATTTTCAGGTGATCCACTGTAACGAGGTGAGGTTAAGGTGTTTAATTATCAGGTAATTTAAGCTGAGGTGTCTAATCTTCAAGTAAAATAAGCTGGGGTGTCTTATCTTCAAGTAATTTAAGCTGGGGTGTCTAATCTTCAAGTAAAATAAGCTGGGGTGTATAATCTTCAAGTAATTTAAGCTGGGGTGTCTAATCTTCAAGTAAAATAAGCTGGGGTGTCTAATCTTCAAGTAAAATAAGCTGGGGTGTCTAATCTTCAAGTAAAATAAGCTGGGGTGTCTAATCTTCAAGTAAAATAAGCTGGGGTGTCTAATCTTCAGGTGATCCACTACATCAGGGTTGTGGCTGGGTTGTGAAAGTTCGGTTCTCGGGTAACTTGCATAACAGGTCATAAGTGGATCAAGTTTTGGCAGGAAAAACTCTTGGGATAAACCGCTGGCGTTTATTGTATCACTTTTGCATATTTGTTTTGTTAAAGAGATATTTAGTTGTATAATTTTTTACGAGATTTTACTGGATTTTAGTTTTTAGTTTATTTATGAATGTTGGTTTTATTTTTTTAGTTTATTTATGAATGTTGGTTTTATTTTTTTAGTTTATTTATGAATGTTTGATTTTATTTGTTTTATTATAAATGTTGAATTTTATTTTAATTTTTTAGTTTATTTGTGAATGTTGAAATATATTTTTACGTTCATTTATTTAGTTTTTAATCTTATAATTTACGGGTTTTTTTCGAATGATGAATTTTATTTTTACGAATTAGATACATTAGATTCCTGATTAAGACAACACTGACATAATTAGACTTGATAACGATATATATACTGACTAAAACAAGAGAAAATTAGACTTGATAACGATATATAAAAACGTTATTAGTCTTCAAAATATCCCAGTAATATTATTTGTATTTAATATCAATGCCTCAAGTTACTAATATGATAAGTTATAACAAGTACACACTGTGGGACCTTATGTACAAGTGTGGTATAGGTGGCAACACGTGTACACAGACTGGCCTGAATATATTTAAACATTGATATTAATTAGTAACCTGACCTAACGTAACCTATCCTAACCTATCCTAACCTAACCTACCCTAAATATTGACCTTAACCAAACTTAATATATCGTACCCTACCCTACATTCACGGCTATATAATTACATAGATCGCCACTACAATGAATACAGTTTACATTACAGAGATACAAGAGGTTAGTTCTGTAATGTATCATATAATCATCTCTATGGTCGCTACATCAGTACTACACATATGGGTTTAACTAGATGATTATTATATTGAAGGTCATTATTGCTTGTTAAACATAGCTAGCTGCTAGTTAGTCTGTCAGAGCTTTTTGTAGGAGGGA